ACATTGAGATATCACCTCACCCCAGTTAGAATGGTTATAATCAAGAACTCTAACAACAACAGATGCTGGAGGGGATGTGGACAGAAGGGAACCTTACTGCATTGTTGGTGGGAGTGTAAACTTGTTCAACCACTTTGGAAAGCAGTATGGAGGTTCCTCAAAAGACTCCACATAGAGCTCCCCTATGACCCAGCAATCCGACTTTTGGGCATTTACCCAAGTGATCACAAACAAGACCACACTAAAGCCGCCAGCACAACTATGTTTATCACAGCATTATTTCCCATAGCTAAGATATAGACCCAACCCAGATGTCCCTCAGTAGATGAATAGATCAAGAAAATGTGGTATATATACACAATGGAATTCTATGCCTCCATCAGAAAGAATTACATTGCCCCATTTGTTAGGAAATGGAAAGATTTGGAAAAAATTATATTAAGTGAAGTAAGGCAGGCCCAAAGAATCGTAGGTCCCATGCTTTCTCTTATTTGCAATTACTTGTATATGTCTGAGACAAGCAGAAATGGTCAGATAAGATGATGTTAGGTGAAATGAAAGGACACAAGTGGTTTTTTCTTTCTTGCTATTGTTTCTAACGTATTTATAAGGTGATTTTCTTTTTTGTTTCTTTGTATGTCCCTCCCCCATGGTATAACCCCTGTTTTCACTGTATTCGATGTTGGTATAATTTGGGGAGGGAAAGGGAAAAAACAAATTGTTTAAATAGGGATACAGGTGGACCCATTGCAACAATGAGATATACAAGATGCTATGTTAAAAAATGAACTTTACAACTTCGGCAGCGGGGGTGGGGGGTGTTGTGGAGATTGGAGGGCAGGGATGGTAAGGGAAAAACAAAGGAGGAGGCAACAATGCCTCATTACCTTACTCATGTAACTGTAACCCCTCTGTACGGTATTTTCACAACAAAAAAATTATTTTAAAAAAACTCAAAAAAATCACCGCAAAAAACAAAAAGGAGAAAACACACTCCACAGCAAATTGGGTATGGGACTAATGTGTCAGTCTCCTAGCAAAGGTATCTCATAGGTGGGTCTTAGTAAATTCCATGAAGAATTTTCTAATTATATGGTAACTATATCATAAATTTACATTCACTTAGAATAACCAAAACTACAAACCAAATCCACTTCTATTTCATCCTTTCCTGTGTTTACAGCTTTGGTACCAACATGGACATCCCTTAGTTAACTTGGCTCCATGACAAGGATTTGTCCCTCTGTTTTTAAACAACAAGCATCAAGGAAACAATTATGATGATCAGTCTGGTACAAATGTAGGTCCCCCCCCCCCAGATTTGAAGAGTTTATCAGCTAATATTGTCCTGTAGATTCTAATTACAAGCAAGAGAGTTTAGACACAGAATGGTTGACAACAACTTCCAAATAATTAATAGCTGGTCAACAGGTAATATCTATATCTACCCAAATCCCGTATTTCGTATTCTAGGAATTTGACCCACAGGTCAAGATCAATTGTGTAATTGTTGCATTGGAGAAGAATTTGACCCAAAGGGATAAATTATTTGGTCCTCTATTCTTGGACAGGGGAAGAAAGTAGTTCAGAAATGCATTTGAACTTAGTTCAGCTTGGTTCTGCATTCACTCCAGTTCACAGGCGGTATTGAATAATTTTCAGTCTCTTATTTCTGACATGCTCAAATCAACCATAAAGATCTTAGTTTCTGGGTTTTTTTGGAGTAGGGATTGCCAGTACTGAGGCCCAAATTTGGCCTTGCACTCTTATGCAATTTGCTTGATCACAAATGGCACTCTTACCACTTGAGTCTTGTCTCCAGCTTTTGTTGCTGGTTATTGGGAGATAGAATTTGTATTTTCTGCCTGGGATGAGTTTGAATCAGGATTCTCATCTCAGCCGCCTAAATAGCTAGGATTATAGGCTTGACCCACCAGCAACCAGCCCAGTTTGTATTTTGTGTCATGTCTTGGTATGCATACCCAGAGTATCAAGCTATATAAAAATAAATGTAAAGCCAAGTGGCAGGACTGAAGAGTTCTCATGATACACTGGACTTGTATTTGGCCTAATTTATATGGCATAATCAATTTGGAAATAATGATTTCAATTTCTTTTATCAAATATGTAAGAACAATTTCTCTTTTTTTTAATCTTAAAAAATTTTTTTTTATGTTAGGTTTTTAAAAAGGTAGTTGAGTAAGAATAGCACCATGCCCGTGGTATTCAGGTAAGGGGTAGGTTTATTCAGTAGACCTGCTGGAACCTGGCAAGGTTGGAACTCCACGTGGCTGGGAAAGGCCTGGGAAAGAGAAAGAGCTCGGAAAGAGAGAGAAAAGAGTTAGCAAAGAGCAGAGAGAGAGCATCTGAGAAAGGTGGGAAACAGAGAGCTAGGAAAGAGAAGAGAGCTGGGAAAGAGAAGAGGAGGAAAGAGCTGAGAAAGAGCTAGAAAAGAGCAGAGAGTGAGCAGAGAGAGCTAGAAAAGAGAGCGTCTGAGAAAGGTGGGAAAGAGCGAGCTAGGAAAGAGAAGGGAGCTGGGAAAGAGAAGAGAAGGAAAGAGAGAAAAGAGCTAGAAAAGAGCAGAGAGAGAGCAGAGAGAGCTGTAAGAACAATTTCTTATCAACTCATTTTAATATATTTTAAAACAAATGTTCAAGAATAGATTTGACAGTTCAATTCATCTGAGAGATAATAGTTAATCCAGATGATCAAATTAAGAATGCAAATAAGCCGGTACCAGTGGCTCATGCCTGTAATCCTAGCTACTCAGGAGGCTGAGATCTGAGGATCATGGTTTGAAGCCAGCCTGGGCTGGCATGTCTGTGAGACTTTTATTTCCAGTTAATGATCAGAAAACTGTAAGTAGCACTGTGGCCCAAAGTGGTAGAGCACTAGCCTTGAGCAAAAGAGCTCAGGGATAGTGCTCAGGCCCTGAGTTCAAACCCATGATTGAAAAAAAAAAAAAAGTGCAAATAGTTCTAAAGAGAGCAATATAATCAAGTTTTACTGGGTAACATTTTAGTTTATTTGAATTTAACTATACACTAATTCTGACATATGAACAATCTGTATGCGCATTGCTCAAACCTTATCATATTATATTTTATTACTATTTAATCACTTTAAGGAATTAAAGTGTTTCTTTTGCTCATTCTGTTTCTTCTTCCTTTTCCCAGTAGTGAGTACTTACAAGGAGTTGATGTAAAATCTTCTGTCATGTTTTAACATTTTACTTTACATATGTGTGTATGTATATCCTGTGACTGTTTCAAATTTTTCTATGGTGTGGGTATCTTTTTGCAATTTATGCATTATGATATTGTGAGATTTGTATATTTGGATAGTATATGTCTAGTTCATTGTAATTGCCATATATTTTCCATTCTGTAAAAGAGCTATCATTTATTTGTGATTTCATCTCTGTATAAGTGAGCAAAATATATAAAATGGATAATATCACTAGGATAGAAGATTGGAAAAGAAAATTAGGATATCTTTTGGGAAAAAATTGTTCAAACAAATAGTTATATATAGGCATATGTGAGAATACAGGCTGACACCTCTTATAATAGTGACAGAAACAATGCAACTGCCTATTGATAAACAATTACAGAATATACATATTTTAATAAGAAGCAAGTTCAAAGCAGCAAGGGATAATTAAATGATTAATATTGTAGTGCATTTGTGTTTTATAAAACTCAGGTCTAAATTTTTGTATTTAGGATTGTATATGAAAATATTTATAAGAAGATCTAATGTCATATACCCAGGACTTTCATTTCACTAATCTCTAGACATTTGCATAACATCTATTTCCTCTCTCTCTCTGTCCTCTCTGTCTTCTCTCTCTCTTTCTCTCTCTCTCTCTCTTTTCCTGGTTCTTGAACTCAGGGCCTACGTGCTGACCTTGAGCTTGAGCTTGAGCTTCTTTTACTCAAGGCTGGCACTGTACCACTTAAGCCATAGCTCTACTTCTGGTTCTTGTTGTTTGTTTAGAGTCTCACAGACTTTTCTGCCTGGGCTGTTTTCAAATTATAATCCTCAGATCTCAGGCTCCTTGAGTAACTAAGGTTACAAGTTTACAAGTATGAGCCACTGGTACCCAGCTCAACATCTAATTCTTTCTTTCTTTCTTTCTTTCTTTCTTTCTTTCTTTCTTTCTTTCTTTCTTTCTTTCTTTCTTTCTTTCTTTCTTTCTTTCTTTCTTTCTTTCTTCCTTCCTTCCTTCCTTCCTTCCTTCCTTCCTTCCTTCCTTCCTTCCTTTCTTTCTTTCTTCCTTTCTTTCTTTCTTTTTTTGACGGCCATAGGACTTGAACTCTGGGCTTGGGCGCTATCCCTCAGCTCTTCAGCTCAAGGCGAGTGCTCTACCACTTTTGCCACAGTGCCACTTCTGGTTTTTTAGTGGTTTATTGGAGATAGGAGTTTTATGGACTTTCCTGCCTTGGCTGGCTTTGAACCGTGATTCTCAGATCTCAGCCTCCTGAGTAGCTAGGATTACAGGCTTGAGCCATTGGTGCCCTGCAACATATATTTCTTAAACATACAATATGTATAAGGAATTGTCCTTAGGTGCTAAGAACAGAGCGCTGAGCAAGCTAGAAAAAGAAGAAGAAGAAGGCCTTCCACTGAAAACTTCTGTTTAAGCAGTAGGACTTAGTCCCTAGACAGTGCACAAGTCAATTGGTAGTAGGGACTATGGAGAAAAGTGAAGAAGTGTTTATCAGTGGAGCTCTTGATCGTAAAACACATTTTATAAACTTTTACTGCCTGGTACTACTCCTACCACTGGTGTCATGTCGCTTGTGAGCTTTTGAAATATGACTGGTGCAGATGAGATACTGGGTCTTTCCTTGTATTCCTTTCAATGAATTTAAATTGCTATGTATAATATAGTGAACAATCATAGTACCTGTCGTCAATGAAGGCAGGAGACTTTATATGTCTTTAATTACATATGGATCTCAGATTTGGGTCATAATTTCTTGTTTCTCCTATAGAATGGCTCCTGACCGAATGACATCTCTGTCACAAGTTTGTGTCCCACTTGTTACTCTGCCTGATTTTGAACCCTTGGTGGAGGCCCTGCTCACTTACCATGGACACGAACCTCAGGAAATCCTCCGGCCTGAGTTCTTTGAAGCTGTAAATGAGGCCTTTTTGCAGTAAGTGATGTCCATTATTCTGTCATCTGACTTCATTTTTCCTTTACATAAGATGTTTCAGTATGTGGGACATTTCCCACAAGAATGGCTTTCTATCTCCTTATACACTCTTAAGATATTTTTGAAGAACCCATAGGACTTTTTAAGTACGAGTTATGTTTAATCAGTATTTTCCATAGGTGAAAGTAAAACAAACTTCAAAGATATTTATCGGGCTGGGGTACAGCTTAAATGGTAGAGTACTTGCCTGACATGAGGCATTGGTTTGATCCCCAACACCACACTCACGAAAATTACTTCATTTGAAATAATGGTAAATGTTATATTCCAAGACAGAAGAATTGTTTAGAAAGAACAATGTTGCTTGTATATATTATTAGCAAGTTTTATTGTTTGGCTGAAGAAAGCTGGATTCTCATGTTGGTTTTTGTATTTAGTCTGCTGAGATATGTTCTTCTGGCTGAAATATCCAGCCCCACACAGATATGTGTTTGGAAAAGGTAGCAGTGTTGTAATATATCTCAGATTGTTGTGGATATTCTGTTTTAATGTTTCACTGGTCAAAAAGAAAAAAATTTACAGTGATCATTTTTAAAAAGTTACTTGGTGTGAAATATAACTTTTTATAACTTCATATATATAACTTTTTATAATGTATAATGTAACTTTTCATACTATTACACTGGCCTGTTTTACACTATCTTAGATCTTTTGCTTTTGTATGAATTTGTAGTATCAAGCATGGTTCATCTGGAAAAATCTTCATTCATTAATATATTCAGATCTCCCAAACACCGACATATTTCACTATGCAGCACAAAAACTTGGTTATTGCTATCATTAATTATTTCATGAGACCACTGATCTCATCAGTTTGGAAAGCTGAGAAGCTCATGTTGGTTGACATAAATTTCCCAAGGTTATAATAATCTTAAAATAAGGTCAAATGTATCATGGTCCACAAATTCTGTCACTATGTCACTTTGCTAGTTTTTGAGTATGTGTTTGGTGTTTTTTTGTGATATTAATCCTGAAATTTGATTTCAGAATTTCATACTTATTAGGCATGTGTTATTTTCTCTGGTTGTTTTTAAGAAAGTCTCAGGCTTAACCTGGATGGATTATTCATGCATCTCACCAAAGCTGGGCTTATAGGCATATATGTCCCAGGCCAGCTTTTTCTGTAAAAAAGGGAAGAGTTTTATTAGTTTTATCAAGACAGGTGCTCTTCTTGAAGATAAATATTTTTCTTTTGCAAACACTTTTATGAACTAAGGTGTCATTTTACCAAGTGTTTTGTTACAGAATTAGTGTCTTTCTTTAAGCTATTCTTGCCTAGTTCTCAGGGTATAGTAATCATTTAGGTGAGTAGACAAGGTTACAGGAAGAGTTGCCTCTTTACTGAATGCTGTAACTTAAGTGATGAGTGAGAGACAGGAGAAAAGCACATGAGTTCCTAATCAAGTGAATATTAGCAACATGTTTTCCCTTGTTTCTGGTTTTTAATTCTCATGCCTCATTTCTCCTAATCTATCCTGCCTCAAATATTTTATAGTTCTTCATCGAACATTCTTCTGACTAAGTATGTTAGCTTTCCTGTGAGGGTGTGATTGATGGTATGGGTAAGGGGAGTGAAATGACCTCCTGATGGTGCAACAGTTTTACGCGTTGTTGCTTTGGCAGCATCAGTACAGAGTTCACCACAGTTGTTCCAGGAAGTACAGTGAGACTCTAAATAGTTGTTCAACAACTTGAATTTCAACACATCATCTGATGTGGCCAGTTCTACAGAATAATGTCTATACAGGTGAACACAATGACAGCAAGTCCAACTAGGTTTAGAGATTCTGTTGTAAACCCTGAGTACAGTTCTGTGAATATAGTATTAGTGGGTCACATCTTTTTTTTTTATTGTCAAAATACCGTACAGAGGGGTTACAATTATTTGGGCAAGGTTACATATTCTTTTAAATGGTTTAATTCTTGTTTGTTCAGACTCTAAATGACTGGTCTCCAGTGGATGCTACAATCAACAGTATTTAAACTCCTAATAGCATTTAACATATCCTTTTGCATAAGATACAAGAAGGTAAATTATTAACCTCCGTAAAGTACAGGGAAAGACAACTTCCCTTGTATTTTTGCTTTTACTTATATTTTAGCCCACCTTCTCTGCAGTAGATGTCTTTGCCTCATGAGTCAGAGAATTCTCTGATATGTCGGTTTCATCTTTCCCTGATAAGATAGCTGTAGTATGAGAAAGTGAATCTTTTTGTTTTTTTTAATATCATTGTTGGCAGTGGTAGGGTTTTAGCTTGGGGCCTCTTGGAACTTGCTGGGCAGAGCTCTACTAAGATAGCCACACCCAAAAGTCCTTTTATTTTTTAGTTATATTTTCAATAAGGGTTTATGCTTTTTGCCCAGGCCATGTTTGGTTTATACTTAGTGTTTCTTGTGTATTGGAATGATGGATGTACACCATTATGCCTGGCTTGTTTATTGATATTGAGAGGAGGGCAGTCCTGTAAAATTCTTTCTTGGGCTTGCCTTAAAGTCAGTCTCCCAATCTCTGCCTCCTAAATTGCCAGGATTACAGATATGTGCCACCATGTCCAGCCTAAGAGAGAGAATATTTTAATCCTCCCTTTTAAAGACAGCAATTCCTTGACAATAAAATACTGTTAAATAAAATTCTGATAAATTGTAAACCATCTAAACTATGCATTAGGACATATAATTAAAATATGCATTGTATTTATATAAATATAATATTTAATGTAAAAATTGTTTCTATGTAACATAAAATTAAAAGAATTCAGAAAAGATATAAAAAGGCTTTTAAAAGTTTTAAAACGTTACTAAAAATATGTTTCTTGTTATATTTCCATATGGGCATAGGAAAAGTAGCAATTTTTAAAGTATTTGCTTTTGAGATAATGGAATTACAGACATGACTTTAGATATAATCAAAGATAGTAGAGGCATAGTAAAAGTAAAAAAGAAAAAAACTTAATTTAGTCTCGAAAAATGCGCAAAGTTATATCTGTAACATACCTTAAATTTTTTTATTTCAATAAATATTTTATGATCAGAGGCACATAGGCATCATACCTTTGTGTACACCCCTAAGAGCATCTCTCTTTGGTCTCAATGTGTGTGAATGCCTAGCATACCTTTACATTTTTTAAGAACATGAAAAAAAGCAAGTGTCTGTTTCACTGTCAGAGAAATAAAATTATCAGATGCCATGTTGGCTCTGTGATTCCACTGTGCACAGACGTCTAACAGGAAAGAAAAAAGTGTTGAATGTCATCTTAGTATTTTTATGGAAACAGCTGTGGGCTCACAGAAACCTTGAAGAGTCATCGTTTCCCTGCATCACCACAAGGGTTTTGTGGACCCCAGAGTGAGAATTGTTATATGTTAGAAGTCAGAAAAATATAGTTTCTTTTCTTCATTTCTTCATTTTACCTTATACCTTTTACCTATAGCAATTTCTAGATTCTCTTACATAAGATTTCCAAATTCCATTAAATCAAAATGAGATTCAAAGTATTAATTCAATTGAGGTAATGTTACTTTCTTTATTTGGATTTTTTTTTTCATTGTGCACATTCATGTGTTAGAGTGTGTTATTTGAACTCAGGACCTAGGCTTGCTAGGCAAGAACTCTACCATTTGAGCCATGCCACAAGTCCAGGGTGTGATAATTTATTACATACATACAAATGTATGAAGATTACTGATGTGATTCTAAGTTACTTTTTACAAGCCTCAAGTTTTTTGCTAAAATACTATACTTTTAAAATGTTTTATTGATATTGTTTGCATCTTTCAAATCTGACTTTTAAATATTTTGAGAGATAAACTGGAGAATTGCTATGTATATAGACCCTTCCTTATTCTAGTGTGCATAAAAAAAAAAAAAACAACTATAAGCCAGGTGCTGGTGGCTCATGCCTATAATCCTAGCTCCTCAGGAGGCTGAGATCTGAGGATCAAAGTTCAAAGCCAGCCTGGGCAGGAAAGTTTGTGAAACTCTTATCTTCAATGTAAACCACCAGAGAACCAGAAGTGGTGCAGTGGCTCAAGTGGTAGAGCACTAGCCTTGAGCTTAAGAGCTGAGGGATAGCGCTCAGGCCCAGAGTTCAAGCCCCATGACCAAACAAACAAACAAAAAAACCCAAACCCAACAACTATAATCTCATTAGTACATCTAAAAATTGATGTTAGTTCCTTATCATACTCCCATATCTCCCAGGGATTAAATTCTCTCAGCTTTTTGACAATTTTTCTTGCAGTTTGTTAGAGTTTAAAGCCCACATACTGCATTTGGTTGTAGATTTTGTAGATTCTTTAGCATCTTCAATCTGTAATCTGGTTTTTGTTGAAAATAATAGTGTTGTTTTTCTCTTGGGTTGTAGAGCATTTCAACCATCTTGAGTGTGGTGATAGAGTGCATAAACACCCATCTTGCTCCTTGCAGACTTAAGATGCCCCTTTGGTCATAATTGAGGGCCATACAGAAATGCCCCTCAATTTCTTTCTTTTTTTTTTTAATTGTGAAAATACCGTACAGAGGGGTTTCAATTACATGGACAAGGTAATGAGTACAATTCTTATCAAGCATTGTTGCCTCCTCCTTTTTTTTCCCTTCCCATCCCTTCCCACCTCCCCCCCTCACCACACTCCCTCCTTCCTACCCTTTACCCCCTCCCCCCCGTCCAAAATTGTAAAGTTCGTTTTTCAACATAACATCTTGTACATCTCATTGTTGCAATGGGTCCACCTGTATCCCCTACCTAAACAATTTGTTTTTTCCCTTCCCCTCCACAAATTATGCCAACATCAAATACAGTAAAAACAGGGGTTATACCATGAGGGAGGAACATACAAAGCAACAAATAAATCATCTTATAAATATGTTAGAAACAATCACAAGGAAGAAAAAAACATTTGAGTCCTTATCTTGGGGTTCATTTCAACTAACATCATCTTAT